GACTGACTGACTGACTGACTGCCTGACTGACTGACTGACTTTCTGACCGACTAACTGACTGACTGACTGGTTGACTGGCTGACTGACTGACTGACTGGCTGACTGATTAGCTGACTGACTGACCGACTGACTGACTGGCTAAGTATGTCACTGATATTTTTTCCCCTTTTGACGTCTTTTGTGATCCGAAACTGAAGAGATCCAAGGCTACATAGACTTTGTTAATGGCGACGTCATCTATGTGTTTGTCTTCCAATAGATCATAGGTGAGTACCAAAATGTGTGCGTAATTCAGCTTATTAATTAAAATACAATCTTGCATCACTTTCGGCACTGATGCATTTATGACGAAAATTATTCGTTTTAATTCAGTCATAGCTAGCAATCTAAATTATACTGAATTTGAGTAGTATGATAAAAGTCTGTTTACGAGCGCTTAGAACTCCGGTTTGCGTATTCATGAGGCGACTAGGAGTATTTCTACTTCCGCCTGGATGGAATGCTAATTCATCGCAGGATTACCCCCCCCCCCCATTATTAACTCGCCGGTGCCCATCTAAACACTTGGGAGAAGAAAGGCACTGTGAGAGTAAAGCGTCTTGCCTGAGAACACAACACAATGTCTCTAGCCAAGGCTCGAACCTAGACCACTCGACCCGGAGTTGAGCGCACTAACCACTGCGCTTTTATTTTCGCACAGTGTGATATGATATGATATATTAGCATGATTTAGTCTAGTAGATAAACAACTCACCCTAACGTGATCATGGTGACGATGGTGTACCACATACTGTCTGGTATACTGATGAACTTTCCCTCCACGGCGTTGCGCTCAATGAAGTATATCATACTTGCAAAAACCACGACAGCAATGATTAAAACAAACATTAACGACGTGAGATCTCCCATACAGCTGGCCAGAGCTGCGCCGAATCTTTGAAGACGTTTAGAGTGTCTCGTTAACTTAAAAACTCTAAATATCCTCAAAACTCGAAGAACTACGAAAGCTTCCAGGTTTGATCCAACTACGGAATCTAAAAGCAGTGTTAAGTAAAAAGGAAAGATCGATAAAAAATCGATGATGTTCATCGGATTCTTGGCGAATTCCAAAATATTCGGACAGACAAGAAGCCTGAGACAAAATTCCACGCTGAAAACACCCACACAAATATTGTCTAATAGATCCAGGATTCGAAATCTTTCCATGCAAACTTTCTCTTCGTTTTCGCAAGGGACAGTTTCATAGACGGTTGTAAAAATGCTAAGAATGATAAAAAGTCCCACAATGTAAATTAGGACCATTCCACAAAACGCTCTAAAGCCAGACTCTGCCTCTCCCTCCAACAAAACCCAAATCCAATTTCGAGCTCGTCCAATCCAACTTCGAGTAACTAAATGTTCTTTTTTGTCGCATTCCGACCCGGATACTGTACTTTTACTATCGTCAGCGTTATCATTTTCATTGTCATCGTCAAAGCAACAGTCGTGCACCTCTTGTGGCATAATTCCGTAAAACGACAATTCATCTTCAAATGACGCATTGCAATCATCGTACGAACGATGGAGTTTACCACAACGATAGTAATTTAGTATGTATCGAAATAAATGCGGATCGCGATCTATGAAATATTCCTTTCTATCCTGGTCGTAAAAACGCGCGGCAAGCTCCTCTGAACCCAGAAGCGTTTGAGGAAAACGTTTCAGCGTGTTTTTCCACGTAACAAATCTGCGTCCTCCAACATTAATAATCACTTTGGCATCTGGGCGGCGTCTTTTGAGCCTATCGAGACAAGGATATCCTGACGATGGTCGACACAATGTTGACGACTTCCTCTCTCTAAAGGATGTTGTCTTTGTCTGGATAGCCCCAATGTTACTGATCATTTCGACGTTTTAGTAATTACGATGCCTCAGATGTCTTTTTCATTGTTCTATGAGTCAAAAACAATCTTGATGTTAGCAAATCGTCCCTGACCATCGTGAAAAATAAAAAACAAAGCCAAATTCATCAAAAGGGTCATTCAGAATAAAGGTAAACAAAAACAAGAAACGAGTATAAATTAAAAATAAACAAGGATAGCCCTGTACTAAAGAGCGGGAAAACTACGTGCGACGTGATCGCAATTCACTTTAGTAAGCGTCTGATTGGTCTAGATTACGGTACAAGTTTTCTGAACCAATCACATAACCCAGTGAATTAAGTCCCGATATCTTTCAATCCTAGATTGAAAACTGCTCTATAGTAATTAAGCTACCGTTCATTATTTATCACTTGAGGGGGAGGGGGTTGGAGTATTTCGGTTGTGTTAAGTTAAATTTACCTAATTCTTCCGTTCTGTAGCATTCTAATGACCCCCACCCCACCCCCATTGACAGTCAGTTTTCTTTAGTCCCCCTTTATACCCCGTTAGTGACGAATGGTCCCCCTCCGGTCTAATGACTGGTCCCTGGGAGAAGCCCTTCTAATGTTGATTATATTGGGTACCACGACTCAAAACTACCAAAGCAATTGCAATGGCCAACCAAACAAAGAATACTGATATTAGAACCAGCTGATGAGAGTCAGCCCGTAATTAAGGTTATCCTAGCTCTTTATGACGGACAGAGATTAGCAGGCAGTTTTAGATTTGTATTAGATTGTCTGAGAAGGAGTATGGCAGAATTTCCGAAGACAGCTACCAAGCGTCGATGCTGAAGTAGAGTTTGTCAAATATCAACGCACTCTAGACCTTACATTTAGCATACCTCTATTGCTGTTGATATACAGTGATTCCAAGGAATTACGACTATATATTGTATAGCAAAGCATTCTTGAGGATACATTGAATTAATCCCACTCATTGTAAGCCACGTAGTCAGAAACGTACCCCTCTTGCCACCCTAATTTTTATGTTCTGACAGTATAGTATAAAAAAAACCTAACCTATCTTTGCTTTTCATCTGACGCATTTATCACTAATATAGCGATATCTTGCCAGTTGAAGCTATCACTGGCTTTATCTTATTAGCAAAAACTTCAGGGTATAATTTAAACTAGAGGTTTCAATAAAAGCCTGTACCGGTGGATATAAGATCTCTGACAGCCGTCTGTTGTGCATACGAGCAAACTTTTTGTGTCTGGGAACGTGAAATTTCGCCTTACGACCCCTTGGATGGAATTATTAAAACAATTTGTTCGGTAAAGCAATTCACAGTTTCAGTTTCGTCACGATACCTGTTGCTCATCATTAAAAATTTCAGCCAAAATTTTAAAGCCGAAAGGATCCATATTCATTTTTTTTTTTTCATTTTCCGTGGAGAATTCGCGCCACGAGGACAAAAATTTTACAACATACAATGGTTTCCAGCCGTCAGTGATTCTCTACAATTTGTCGTAATATCATGCCGATAAATCTCTGCAGTGGCTGGATTCTTTAAGGGGGCGTTCTTTTGTGGTTTTCACGTTATTGTCCGCACACACAATAAGCACAGCCTCCTTAAAATTAATCTCGCATATAATGGAATAAGATTTAGCGACGTTGTGAGATGGTTTACAAACAAATTGCTATGTTGTAAAACATCAGATCAGCCGCTGTTTGATCCAGTCTTTCGCCATTAAACTTTCGCCTTCAGTTGCAAGAGCTCTTACAAAGTTTCAGCCGAACGACAAACGAAAACAGTTTCGTTTTAGTGGTAAATAATAAACCAGCAAGTCTTTCTAAATAAATTTGTTCCTTTTTTTTTTTACGCTTTTTGGCAACCCGTTCACGAATAACACATTCTGCAAACATACAAAATAAACGTTCTATATCTGCTTATCAGTTTCGTAACATATGGTTGTTGTTGTTGTTGGAAAGCGTTTTACCTCGAAGCAAGCGTTTACATTATACAGCGTATTGAACTTAAAATACTCGAAGAACACTCTTTCGAACCACTCAATTTCGAGGAGTATATACGCCTGCAAATGCAGCGTGAGTAATGCCTCGACAAAATTATCTGACGCGCAAATTCAATGCTTGCAACATTATGACAAATTAAAATTGTTAGCTGCCTCACCTTGAAAAATATATCGCGCTAACTGCGAAAGAAAACCGTCACAAAATGTTACATCTCACGTTTCCAATAACCAGCGAGCTTCCATCTACAAAAACAAGGAATTATGCAAAGTTTGTGTAGACGCCAAACCCATGATTTAGAAAACTTAACACGATATTAAGCCGACGTTTTCACAACATAGTCTAACAAAGACTTAAAAACATTTGAGCGATGAAGGTTTCTCTTCTAACAACATCGTTATTAAAGAAACGCAAATGAATAATATATACACAAATTTCGAAAAGCTCGGTTTCCTTTTACGAGGAACCCCATTGTTTTTCAAACAATACGTTATAATCTACGAGAGAGCAAATGGCTTAAAAAATTGTTGTTATTAAATCAGTTCTGATGCCGTCGGGGAGATGGTTTGCCTCTTGGATAGCGTCGAGGACAACAGAGAGATACCACATTGATTATTGCTTTAAAACCAATCAAACATGTAAATCGTGTTTTGTGGAGAAGACAATTGGAAATGTTTGGTGGCGCCGAAAAGCCGTGCATCTCATTGGTTCGGGTGTCTACACAAAGGTAAAGTGACGAAGGTGTTTGTGTTGAAATGATGTTTGGTGCCTCTTAGGCTAAAAGAGCGTGTTTCATTAAAAGCAAATGTACATTTTAAATATGTAAAAAAGCGTGTGAAGCCAATTTAGATGCGTGTGTATTGAATTGTGTAAAGAAAAGTAAATTAGAGGGGAGCGAATCTGATGGTAACAAGAAACTTAGTTCAATCGATTCAGGTTTTTTTTTATTAGTTTCATTTTCATTTTGCTAAACAATCACCAACTAAAGAAACTCTTGATTGTTAAACAAATTCTCCATGTTAGCACCTCAAGAAATTAATAGAGAATAGTTTGGGGAATGTGCATACTGATGTTAGGCCGTAGCTACAGGGGGTTAAGAATGCTTCATCAGCAATTTTCTTCGGAGAAGGAGGTATGTTATGATTACGCATGATTGTGAAACATAACTGTTAGCTGCTATTAGTGCATTTTAACGAGCTCTCATTGGTGCATTTCCATTCTCCTGATTTTGGTGTCACTCCTTATAGCTCTGCGTTGGTCATGGCAGGCTGTTTCCAATTTGTTTCTTTTGTTGGTTTTTTTTATCAAAATTTTTTCCAATTGTAGTCCTCTGGAATTTAGATTCCGTTGTCTTCCGCCGGTCAGACACTTTTTTCAAATGGCGTTAATTCTCAGCTAGATACAGGCTATCCATCACAATAACACAGCTTGGAAACTTGACCTCAAGGTCATAAGTTATAGCTTCAAAACAAAATTTCATACAATTTCAACTAATGACTGCGTCGTTAGTATTTCGTAGAATCCAAACCTACAATGTCATGTTGACTTGCTTTGACTGAAAATTGCCTAGAATTACGGCATTTCAAACGAGCTAACGAGAGTTAACGAACTGGACGAGATAAACGTCCATTCAGTACATTTACCAAGGCTTATCATTCGCTCGATAGCTCAACAGCGTATTGAAGTTTTCTGTTGTAGAAGCTAAAAATTGACATAATACTGCAGACAGACTGTTTATGCAACTGCTTGACTCTCTTCTAGCCGAAGTTTTGACAGAGGATAGGGTAGGTACTTGGTGAAATCCTTCATACATGCATCAATACAGAAGAACATGTGGGAATACATGGTGATTTGCATTTATTAACATACATTGATTAAGGATTACACCAAGTACTTAGCGAAGATAGAGGCACTGGTTGGCTCAGATAAGAACTGTACTCGTCGAGCGATCCAAAGAGTTTGCTCGTTCAAATTTGCTCCGTGCATCTATTTCGATTCAGTCCACTAAGACATTTCAAGGATAGTTGCAGTAATATCTACTAGGCAAACATAACTCGTAGGGCATTCTGGAGTCTTCTTGTTAGTTACAGACTTAGGGCAAGGATAGGTCAATAGATTTTTTAGAAAAAAAATAAAATGTCAAATTTGTCAGCTTGTAGGAAAACTCACCGTAAATAAGTTAACTGACAAGAAGTTCAAAATAACTGCAACATCAAGTAATAAAAAACATCTGCAAGGACAAATTATTAAACGGCTTACGATAGAAGCGGTTGCAGGCTTGTGGCCCTCAGTCCCATACAGGAATTTCTATTTCAAGGCTCACCGCAATGATTAAAATTCCACAAGCAAAAAAATCGGCTCCTGATTTTAATCTTCCGATCTGTTGATGAATGCTTTAAAAGGGGAACCATGGGATGGCTCTTGTTTATAAGCAATCGGGATTGTTACATGTACGTTGTTTTACAGGTAAATACGAAATTATATCTAAAATTATGCATCGAATTTTAACATGGCTCCAACAATTATCCTCTCCCATCTGGTAGTATCACTTACTACCGAATGCATCGCCAGAAAAAATTATTCCATTGTATAAGCATACCCCATTTTTTTTTACGCGATAGAAGTATGTCATACGGGCTCGTTAAAAGAAAAGAAGAACACGTTTTCAGTATAAAGACTGAGATAACAGTCATCTGTTGCATCCACCTGTGCCGTGACAAAAGCTGTCCGCTTGCATAGTAGTTAGCTTACTTCCACTCGTTGAAATATTGCGAAAGCTTCTTTAGATAAATGCAACTGAAGAGGCAACCTTCACATCTTTCTTTCAAGGTACCAGTCACCCTTGAAGCCCTTTGCGGCCAGTAATTTGTTTTTGAATCAAGATTGCCATGCTAATGTCATGGGCACTCAAAATCTACATATTTAAGTTCTCTTTTTTTTCCCTCTCTTTCTTCGTTCAAAATTGCCCAAGGCCAATTTAATTTTAGTTTGTTGCTAGAAAAACTGTTTATTTTTGCTCCTGCACATATAGAGCTGGTAAGAAATTATAGCTGATTTTAGCCATTGTCTGTAAATCTGTTAGAGGTTTTGAAGACAATTCGGGAGCACTAAATCTCGTGTCTAAAGATTTTCTTTTATAATCTAGCGTGAAATAAAAATATAAGGTTTTAATTATTTCTTTAAGCTACAGCCGAATTAAAAAGACCACATAATGTAAGAAATTCATAGCGTCCAAACACATTTAACACGCTGGGGTAGCTTGAAGACTCCCTTTTCTGTTTGACCATAAATTGGCTAATTTATTCTTCGAGATAAAGACGCTTTCTTTCATGCACATTTGTAATATCTGCACGAGATTAAAAGAAACTCAACGGGAAGTCTGTCTATGGTCGCTTCATTTTGAATTCTAATTTCTTTGTCGTGACTCAGCTTTTCAGCTGATCGACACGAAGTAAAACTTCAAAAAATACTTCGTCAATATCACCTAATTGTTCGCGCTCGGCTTCTTTTAAAAGTGAAATCGATCGCCTGCTTTCTAAGCTCCCGTCGCAATCATCTTCGATTGCTCGCGCTACAGGACTACATTTCGGAATTAAAATAATATAATGAATGTTTTGTAAATGGCTTTCGTAAAGATCGGAATAGTATATTACCTTCTCTTAGGATATACTTTTCAACAGCTGGTTGTTTTTTCCACCTCTGGCCAAGCAAATTTCACCGAAACTGGCAAAAAATAATCTTTACAACAAGAACTTGCAGGGCTATTTATCAACTGAAAGGGCAAATATCAATTTTATCTCCCCAAGAAGCGATAATGGCGGTCAACACTGTGATAGGTGATTGACACTTCCTTATTTACGAAACTAGATTGTTTGAATTTGAGACTGTGTTTTAAATATATTAGAATTTGTTTTAAATGCAGCGATAATGTTTCAATCTTGGGTAGAAATTTTTTGCTTTGACAAAAAACCATTTTCGAACTATCGTCCTATCGCGTAGTCCAATCGAGTTATTTATTATATTATTTTTTACCAAATTCTGAGGGCTCCTTGATTTAAACGCGACACTCAAACAGCACCTGCCGCAAAATCAACGAATTTAGCTAATATATATACGGACACTGTCCACGGTTTTACTCAGCAAAGTATATTAACATCGCATCGGAAACTGAAAAGAAAAAAGTTTCGCAACTCAAGTTAAATTTAGGATCGATAAAATCAGTCAATTTCGCAAGCGCTAATTTCAAAGGATTTCCTTCTCTTCTAGCATGTCAACTGGTAATGTTTCCTCTTGTCTGTAAGATATCATTCCATCTATATTATTTACTTAAAGTTGAAAGCACGCAGACAGGTTGTCCGTGTTTCAAACTTGGTTTGAAAGGCGCATGTGCAACTGGGCATGTCAGAGCGTTCATCGGAGAGATTGGGGATAGCGATATGAATAGCAGTAGAAGCCAAGGGACCTGGCATTACTTATCGCCTTGGGGAAGGGGGTGGGGGCGAGGAAGGATTTGAGAGAATCACATGGTTTTCAGGGGAAAAGGAGACCCCCCCCCACCAGCAGGAAAATGATGACAGGTCTCAAACAGACACATCGAAGCTAAGATTTCCCGATGGGTGGTTTTACAAAAAATATATCATTATCTTGGTACAAAACCAACCTGAACATAAAGTTCTCCATAGCTAAAACACCTCTCTACTCGGGTCATGGTCAGAGCACGCTTTGTTACTATGACTTCCCTACGTGATCCCGGAAAATTCGTTACAGTCGAGGCCGTTTTTTAGCTGTCTGAAATGCTTCCGAGTATAATTTAACTTTGAGAGAATGTTTGATCGTTCAAACAGTCTCGACCATCGTTTCTCGATTTCTATTTATCAGTCTGGATAGATACGCAGGTTTCAGCGAAAAATTAATCAGGAGTTGGGCGAACGGAATTTGTGGGTTCATGCAGCATATTTTCCCACAAGTCTTTGTGCCCTCTATGCACAATATTGACTAGAAAAATACTTTTAATGAAAAATTTTTTTTAGAGGTGCATAACCAATTAGGTTATGATCGAGCAAGTGGAAGATGACAATAGACCGAAGGGATGCTTTACTATCTTGCTATCTTTGTAAATAGTGCATAACAATAAACTGTATACCTGTATCTACAGCATTCGCATCATAAATCGATAAATATATATCTGACTTAATTTTGCTGTTCAAATTTGGCATTTGGAATCGATGTATATGCGAATCTATGTTTATGCAAATATTTTCCATTCTTATTCATCCTTGTCCCTGTATGCTTTATTTTTTTCTTCAATGGCGCTTTCTACCCTGGAGAGGTATTAACTAAAATGTTTCCTTCTCATTGATGCGTCGATCAATTCAAAACTGCGCATGCTACAGTTTGTCCTCCCAGACATTTGATAGTTGGAAGATTGGTTCGTTCAAATTCCCACCTCTCCGGGCAAAAACTGCGTTCAAACGTCCCATCCAAGCACATTATTTTTATCATGAACGGTCCTTTGTGAGATCAACGAATGTTGCAGAATTTGGCAAAGTTTTTGGTGCCGCCCTTTTCCATTTGGTCACGAAAGCAGACTCTAATTTGAAACTTTCCACCCAGGTTAGGTTCGAATTCCCCATCCCCGGGGCATGGACGACAGTCAAATGCCCGTAGGTTGCCCGGGATGGGGGGACGTTGAATCTTCGAATTGAAGGGCGCATAATGTTTATGTTCAACTCAAAGCATATGGCTCGCTTATACAAACCTCAGCCATATAAGTCTCAAATACGGTTATTCACTTAGAAAAAAGAAAGCAGTCACGTTTTTGTGCAAAGTTCATTTCTTTTAAAGGTCTCAATTTGGTGTCGGCCCTTGCGGCTAGTAATTTAAATTTTGGCCCTTTTACGGCTGACGGTTGATTTCTTTCCGCAAATAAAGTTCTGGTGGCAACAATGGAATACTATTAACCGTTAGCCGCAAATAAAATTGGCCAATATTTTAACCGTTAGCCGTAAAACCCATCATCCTATTGAGACCCTTGGAAAAGAACCCATGTCATATGATACTGTCAAAGAGAATGCGTTGAACATTCAAAAGCTTCTTTGGCTTGCGATAATTTTTTTGTTTTCATAAGTTTTGCAAATTTTTTATTCAATGGTGATACTGTCAGAAAATATTATAAGCGCCTGACTCCTGGAAGATAAAAGAATAAACTTATAATTCATAAGACGTCGGTTAAAACCTCACACTTCCTTTCCATCCCCACCTTACCCACTCTATTCTTCGCAGCCGCTCCCGGTTAAAAAAAAAAGTTGAAAATCGATCTACGTACCCTAAACCTTGAGATTTCATTGCATTGAGTAGAGAAGTCGCTTCGTGAGTTTCGTTCGTGTGATCATACCCTGTTGCGATATGTAAATCAAGTCAGGCCTTGTAATATTAAAGCTAGCTAACAGACTCGCCCGCTAGCGGAAAGAAGGAAAACTCTATTTTGTAGGCTCAGTTAAAGGAAGAAAGTGTCAGAGCTGTTGTAAACAGGCGGTAATCGGGGGAGTTTATCAAATTAATGACGCAGAAGATGGAGGCGTATTGCGGTCGCGGCAATAACGTGGTGATTATACGATCACGTACGCAGGTTGTCACAAAGATACACACGTCCCTTTGTTATCATCTCGATTTAAAAAATTCTCACGATTTCGAAGATTTCAACTCAAAAATCGTCATCGAGAAGTCATCACAATTTGGCAGAAGATTCAGTTTTGAGCTTGGATTCAAAACTAGCTAATTAGCCTAGCCTGGCGATATATAACAGTATATCCTCTATATTCCTAGCTTTGGAATATATATTAGTAGATTATGCGGTTGTTTCAATGTTTGTCGATATAGACATAAATAAAAAGGGCCGAAATTTTGATGTAAGTTCTGAAGCGGCGAGCCATATTTGAGCGTTGGAGAGAAAAAGAAAAATCATTTTCCAGAAAGCATCTTCAGTATGAGAAAACAAAATATTTACTCTTATTTATGACACATGAAACCAAAACTTTAGGGATCTAGCCACTAATACCTATTCATTTACAACCATTGAGCAAGATAAGACAATATTAATCAATAGTTTTCCGTCTAAATAACTTCAAGATGAACTGCAAAATTTGTCGCAAAAGATAGTCATGAAAACTCAACTCGTTTTTTCGAACCAGGGACGAATTACAATGAAAAATTTTCAAAATAAAGCGTCATTCATAACCCCCATATATTTCTAGCTCTGTTTAATCTACAGGAGATATTTTAAACGAGCTGATTGGACCTACCTCCGAGCTGGGAAGGGACGAAACCTGACCATCTCCTGCGAAGTCTGAAAGGACACCGTCTGGAACGAGTTTCACAAGTTTGCTGTTTGTAATAGATTTCCAGCAGTTTATACAAAAGAAAGGGATACTCTGTGAAATTTCCCTTGTATTGCGAACCAAAAGCTATGAATAAATAATAAATTAGAGGAATTCGAACACAAACATTGTAATATAGACAAAATAAACAGGCTTTTCAGAAGCCCTTTCGCAATGAAATTTCCATAGCTCTAAGGCACATTCGGAAATTTAATTCATCGCCTATGGTTTCTCAGAGGAATTGTAGGTTCACACCATTCTAACAAAGATCTCCATGGCGCCCCATGAGGAGAAATATATGTGGATTAATAGAAGTTTTGACAAGTTAAGATCTGCCCCAATATGAATACAATGTGTCCCTGGTACGAGCGACCCAAGTAAAAGTTTTCAGATTCAATGCTCTCTCATCTAGTCACATTGTTTGAAATTCAGTATCAGCAATTTTTTAATTATAGTTTTGAAAGTGTAGATCAAACTGTGACGATGAGAATGAATACTCAACATGCAAAAAGATTTAATCGATATTTGCGTCCTATTTTGTCTTCAAACAAAGCTACATTCAATATCCAAACTTTTTTAAACGTTTTTTAAGGCTGTGTGAGTACAAAACCTGCTGTTTCAATGTATTTGTTGCACAAAGACAAAGTATATGAATTCTCTACGACCTCCCTTTGACGCGTGGAGGCTTACATAATATTTTTTCACTATTGATCCAACAACCGTTTGGCGAGAATATTATCAAAGTCAATTAATAGATTTAAAAGTTACTGACTAATGAGAAATATCAAAGCATCTTAAAAGGAGTGATCTGAAAACATCTCAGTTAAAAACATTCATGGAATATTTTCGAGTGTTGGGCTATGGGGACATTTCCAATTTAAGATCTGAGGAGCCCAAGAATTCGATTCAAGTCCATCGATTTGGCAAGCATGTTCATCCACAAAGCAAGTAATTTCCTTTAAGTATTTACTTAAGCTCATAATTTCAGTAGCTGCTTGAATCACATATGACATATAAACTCGAAAACAATTAATTAGCAAAAACTGTCAACTTATTGTAACTTTAGATAAGAGGATATCACATTCTCGCTTTGCTAATAAATCTATGAGAATTAAAACTTTTATCAGTTACCTCAGGATAACAAAGTCTTCATTTAGGCTGTTAACCTCCTTCTCAGAGCAACTGGAGTGTACGAACAAGTTGGTATACTACTGTTGACCTTGAAGGCGTAACAAATTTGCCTTGATTTGTTTTTTATGCGGTTGCCAGGAGAAGAATTACATCTATTAATGATCGACCCATATTTCCGCAGCATAAATAAATACAATCCCCAGTTTTGTGTGCCTCCTTTGTTTGCTCAGTATAACGCGTTATTTTGCCAAGCGTGACAGCTTTCTTATTGAAAGATTTGGTAACAATCTGGTGTTTGAATAGAGAGGTATTTATGATATAATGAGCCAACATTCTGCAGGTGAAATGGTGAACCATAAAAGAATCCTCAGAGCGTCTTAAAGCGCGTCGTTCCACCAAATCTGTTCTCAAGTTTTCATTTATTTAAGACGTGATTTTGCAAGGAATCTGACCTTGATGATGAAAAATTAATTGGTGTTGCTGACTCCGTGATATTAAAGGTTACTAAAGGACGGCGAAACACGCGTTCATAACAATGCGAAGAGGTATCATTGCATTTGGCCAAGCTCCAAGGGGAAAAAAATTGAAGCTCAAGCAATTTCATACCTGCAAACTTTCTTTAAGTTAAAGAAATGAGATTATTCTTTTATATAAGGGCGATCATATCCGAAAACGATCGAAAATTTCCGAGGATGTTCCAAAATTTTCCGAAGAAGTTCCGAAGCCGTTCTGACGCAACCTCTTCTTGGGTGAATGCTTCCCGTTTGGAACTAAAAGATCCCGGGTAGGGCCTGATAATTTTGATAAGAACTTTCTCAATTCTTCTCTGGACTAGTTTGAGTTTTTTTAATTTTTATTTTTAATGTCAGTAGAGGCTATAACAAAGCAAATCTTTTTTATTATTCATTTATTAGTATTTTTTTTTTATATTTTTAATTTTTTTCCGCGAAAACTGGACGGTAGGTGTCCTTTGCGTGAGATACAAAGGCGTGCGTGGGAGGCGCCCTAAAGTGAAGCTTTGTTATGCATGGTGGTAATTGCGAACAGCACTGAGGTCTCCTACGTCGATTGTTCGTAAACATAACTTCGGAAAGCGAAGAATCTTGTGCACCCTACAAAGAACAAATCTTTCGACTCGGAGTGCAGCAAGGTAACTATCTTTGGCCCACCATCTCTCTTGAAAAGGATGAAGTGCAGCAAAATTTTGAGGTGCAACATAAATGCAAAGCCTTAATGACTTTATTAGTCACATGTCGAGGCAGACTGAAAGCGAGTTTTATTTCATTCGTTCCCAGTTTTTTTTTCGAGCAAATTTAAACATGGCGGCAAACAAGAAACGTTCAAGAGTCGTTTTCCAAGTTGCGCTTGACAGCGAAGTGTTTAATCTTTAACTAGAAATCCCAATTATTTGACATTCTTATGGTCAGTGGAGCCCTTGGAAATCCGTACGTCGTTTGCTAATTCTGGTATAGACTGATAAAGCGCGTTTTAAACATGCCGCGAATTCGCACAGCTCACAAGTTCAGTGAGAGGCAACGAACCGGGGATGTCTTGGCCGACGAACAAGTGGATTTCAAGTCTCTTCTACTTTCTCCAGATGTTTTGAAGGGACTTAATTCCTCTGGATTCGAACGACCTTCTCCGATACAGTTAAAAGCCATTCCTTTAGGAAGATGTGGGTTGGGTATGTGAAATGGTTGTGTTGTCCCTTTGGAACTCGATTTAAGGGCCTCTTCACCCGAGCTTGGGTTAATTTATAGCCCAGTCGTTCGAAGGCCGATTAGCGCTAACCCAGGGTTAAATTTTAATCCAGGTTTCTACATTTCTCTGTTCAAGAGCCGTTTTGGGAAAAAATTTCCAATAGTTTTCAGAGCATTCAATCATCAAATTGTAGACTTGTAAGTGGAATTAAACTAAATTTTCTTTTAAAGCTTTCAGATCTGAAATCAAATTTTACACTAACCCTGATTTATCTAAACCCACCTTTGAACAACCCGGTCCAGGGCCCAGTGGTTTGAAGGCCGATTAGCGCTAACCAAGGGTTAAATTTTAATCCAGGTTTCTATATTTATGTTCAAAAGTCGTTTTGGGATAACTTTCTCAATTCTTTTAGGAGAATTTAATCATTATACTAGAGACACCTGGAATTAAACTGAATTTTCTTTTTAAGCCTTCAGATCTGAAACGAAATTTCACACATGGTTATTTGGGTGAAAGTTCCAAGATAAAAATAGGATTCTAATCCAACTTAGATTGTTTGATATATTGTTTTAAAGATCTGATAGCTCAAGCTAATTCTGGAACTGGTAAGACCTGTGTGTTTAGCGTCATTGCCTTGGAAAGTCCTCATTCTGACAGCAACACGACCCAGGTAAAATATGCTAAAGATTATTTTTTCTTTGTAAAATAACCATAGTATAGGACGCCCTCTGAGTGGTCAATTCAGCCTCCACCATTTGCCCATGGGTGTACACTGCTGATCTGAGCAAATGCAAAGGATAGTTTTCCATGCACACTTGTCTTTTCTGGTCACTTAAGAGTTGTTAAATAAAAGAAAACTCTTTTGCCTCGATGGATCAATGTTATGTTATAAAACAGATGGTAAACGTCACTGTGTAAACTATTGAGTTATGGATGCACTTGGGAGGTTTGCTAAGCACTCAAGAAGCTAGAGTCTCTCTTGGCTATTGCCTTACGCAAGTCTTATACTTCTTTCGTGCTTAGCAACCTCCCATGTGCATCTATAACTCAATAGTGTACACTTTAGTGTTTACCATTTGTTAACTGAGATATCTTTCTTAAATTGTAAACTTAAAGTAGACAGACATGATGATATTACCAAACTGCAAAAATGTGTATCTCATTACTGTATCTTACAGTAATTCATTTATCTTACAGTTCTAGCATTCAAGGGTATATGTTGTGGTCAAATTTCCCCATGTTTAAAATTTCTCAGACCATTACAATTTTTGTGGTTGTCTGTCTTGGGTCTATTCACAAAAACTTACAGTGAAATGTGCTGCACTAAGGAGAAATTTGAACAATCAATACCATACCTCTACATGCAAATTGATTCTGTTTGGATGCAATCACACAATTATGTAACTTCAGGTGCTGATCTTGGCACCGACAAGGGAGATTGCTGTGCAAATTAAGGATGTCATCACTGCTATTGGCTCGGAAATAAAGAACTTAGTTTGCCATGTGTTCATTGGTGGATTGCCAGTTGATGAGGACAAGAAAGTTCTTCGAAAATCATGCCATATTGCTGTTGGTACTCCTGGTAAGCGATTGTTCACAGCAGACTAAGCTTTGGAGGAGAAATTATGATGCTTTGGGTAACTGACAATTTAAGTCATTGTGTCCTTAGGGAGAGTTAAATACCTGATTGAGAACCATCTTCTCAAGACAGAGTTTGTGCGACTCTTTATTCTTGATGAGGCAGACAAACTGCTGGAGGATAATTTTCAGGAGCAAATCAAGTAAGAGTGCAGTAACAACATTTCATTTAACTGTGTTGTGTAATTGTATAGATTATAAACTGTGGTATAAATGTTACAAGTGACTCGGATATTTCCTTCCAGAATTGATATATCAGAAAAATTTATTTGATCTTTATCCATATTAAGTGACCAAGACAGAATTTCTCC